CTGTGGAAGGCACAGCTATAGCCCCCCCTCTGCACCCCATCAGTCGCAGAAGCACCCAGCTCTCCCTGGGAGGGCAGCCCACGAGAACAAGCAGCCTCCTCTGCTGCCTGCGGTCCAGGCATACGGCTGAGCACGTGGAGGAGCGAGCGCAGGGGAAGGGATGCTGGTGTGGCTCACAGCAGTGCCATTTTGAGGCAGTTTTCTGTGGTTGTATAAGAATCAGAACGTGCCAAATCACTTGTGCAAGAAAAACCAGTGTAGGTGATGAGCTTTGCAACAGGCTGCTGGGGAGTAGCTCCTCTAGTTTCAATTCCACAGCTCTTCTTTTGGGAGGAAAAAAAGAAAGGCATTTTACATCATGGCAGTTTTATAGCATTAGCATTTGGGGCTCCTGTCAGCATATCTGCAGAGTTTGGTCACCAACCCCCCTCCCTCCCAGGGCCACAATTGCTCTTCTTTCCCGAGATGTATTTTCAGTCCTCCTGGCTCTCCAGCTTGCAATCTGCCTCTTCCTCTTGTTCGCCGACATTGATGCTGTGTACAGCGGCATGCAGGTAAGCGCAAACGGAACGTGCATTTCCTTTTCATGCCACATATTTTGCTGGCCCTCTACCTAAGTGTACAGAGCAGAAGCTACAGCTACGGTCATCTTGGAAATGAATTTGCTGATCTGATGCTGACCAGGCAATCCTTTCAAGCTTCTCTAACATCCTTCTGACAAGGGCTTGATTAATGAGGTAGTCCTCCTCTCCTCTAAAGACTGGGTGGCAACAGGGAGAAGAAAAAGTGCTTACAGCTTGCTGAGCTTTTCTTTTTAACAGAAAAGCACAATAGGGTGCATTGTGGTTTTGCATGTTGGAGGAGGCTCGTTGGCCAGAGAAGCGAGTGGGCAGGGATTGCTGCTGCCCTCCCTCTCCTGGAGCACCATGAGCTCACGTGGGGCCGCGGCTGCCTCGGCCCTCCCGGGCGCTCAGCCAGGGCACAGCGCAGGCAGCTGCCTCCAGCTTGCTGCCCAGCGTCGGGAATGGCCAAGCCCTGCGGCTTGTCCCTGGCCATCCTGCACGGGATGGATTCGGGTGGAGGCCTGGCGTTAGGGCGGGCATACACAGAGGGAGAGGAGCCGCATGTTGTGCATTAGCTGCAACTCCCCAGAAGTATTTGGGCCCTGGATCCTGCCCCAGGCACCTGATCTGCGGGTTTCAGCAGTAGCTTAAATAGCCGAGATGAGTTAGGCAGCTCTGTGCTGTGGGGAACCTGGCACCAAACCTTCCAAGATCTATGTGACGAGGAATTACTGTCACTTCCTACTGCCTTCTCCATGTTTGCCACTGGGAAAATGTTAGTCAGCCTCTCAAATCACTAGGAACAGACACAAATCTTGGCAAGGTATTTAAACCTAATTGCTGTTCATGTCTTTTCCAACAGTTTCTTTGCACTCCTGTGATCTGGAGAGTTTACATCTTACTGATGCTCTTGGTCACCTTTTGTGTATCTTTTTTTACGGAGGTGAGTGCATTTATTTACCACCTTTTCCCCGGGCTGAACAGGCACAGTGTCTGGTCAGGTCTTTCTACCCCCATCTGCAGCAACGCCCTCTTCCTGCAGAAGCATAAACCCTCAGGCCTTTTTTTTTCCTTAAAGCTCAATGTGTGCCAGTCAAATCCATTTTATGCAGCCCCAGAGATGATTTAGACCACATCTCTTCAGCCTTTAGAAAGGGAGCGAGCTGAAGTGCAGCTGCACGGGAGGAGCCGGCTGCCCTGGCTCACAGGGGAGCAGACCGCAGCACGGGCCAGGCGCTTGGCAGTGATTTTGAAACAACCACTTCCCTCTTGTCCTACAATCGACCAGGCCAAAGACTGTGCTGGCTTGTGCTGTTGGATATTGCAGTAATGACTAAGCCCTGAAGTGTTTTGTGGGTCAAGGCTGGCGGTATCCAGCACCGGGTATTGACCCCTGCAAGGAGCAGCAGTGCCTGGTTGTCTCACAGTCCCAGGAGGAAAATCTTGCCCCTGGATTATCCCCTTCAGCTAAACAGACTGAGATCAGTGTTGTCCTGATATAACTGAGCAGAGCCTTCCTGTGGATGAGGAAGGTGGCATTTAGCAGCTGTGTTACCGAAGGGGAGTGCATGCAGCCGCCCAGTGCCGTGGGGCTCGGGGGGGTTGCACGTGTAGCAAGAGATTACTTTTGTCCCCAAGCGGTCCTCCGTTCCAGTGAAGGGCAACAGCACTGACCCTGCACCGTGTCACTCCACAGGACGTTATCTTGCAGAACAAGCACCTCTGGATGCTGATTAAAGCCTGGTTTGGGTACCAGTCAAGCAGCCAGTACCGAAAATGGCAGAGGATGCTGCAGAGGGATCCCAGCTGGCCTCCCGTAAACGCAAAAGACTTTGCAGTAAAAAGCACGGACGAGATTTACATTAACCCCACCTACAAATGCAGCGACGAGGACTAGGTGAGACCCTGCAGCTGGGCGCGGGGCTGCGCAGTGCTGGCAGCTTCCCCGGCTTGTACTGAACAGCCTGTGTTTTCATTCCTTGACGTGCACCAGATTCAGACGTTTGAAATCCCTGCACAAACCCATCTATTCAGGGGCAGGGCAGGCCCGCGCTGGCTGTGCCCCAGAGCACAGGCAAGGGTTATTCTCTCAGCTGCTGGTAAAATAACAGCCTTGACTCTACTCCATGGCAATAACAGGTCTCAGGCCTTGCCAACATCTCCTGCAAAGGCTCAAAAATACTGAATACAGTGAAGCCATGGCTTCTGCTGCTCCACGTCACACTCTCACTCCATGTTTCAGTCACTGCTCCACCAAATCCTGTCAATGCACCCACCGAGCTTGATGGGAAGGCAATCCAAAATAAGTGACCTAATCTTGACCGCACAGAGGAGCATGCATACAATTGCAAAATCCTGCATTAAATGAAACGCTGCAGCTTCCAAGAACTACAAGAAAGTTCTCCAGATGAAGTAATTCCCATTTTCTTGCACCCTGGAGTGAATTATAAATGTGAGAGGGCACATATGCTGTACTCGTCTGGCTCTCCCTTGCCAGTTCTTGCAGACATAATGCTCCAAGTACAAGAAAGGTTAAAGCTCAAGGATTGCTGTAAGATCAGGCTGGGAAGGCTGGCAAGGATATGCCCCACTTAGGCTTGCAAAGGCAGAGGACAGCACAGCTGCTGCACACGCGACCCCCCCGTTCGCGCTCTGCCGCTGCCAGGCCCTGGCCCAGGTTTGGTGTCACGCGGCAGAAAGCAGGGCTAAGCCTTGGCTTCTTGCTTTAACTAGGTCAGGCCAAGAAGCAGAGGTTTTAACGTGCTCTGGCGCATGGCTGCTGGACAGGTACAAGAAGCTGAGCCCCTCTGTACTTGCTCTTTCATCTTCAAGTTGTTCAACCAGCTAATTAGTTTATCCATGAAAGAACTTTGATTACATTTGCGGGAAGCAAAAAAGGACTTTCAGGTTCAGTTTTATTACAATATGTTTTCCCATATTAAAAAAGAACAACTTTATTTAAATGTAATAACAGAGGGCACTATAAAACACGACCAGAAGTCTTGGCTTTGTTATTTCAAACACTGAAACAACTGATGTTTAAAAAAAGCTTCCGATCCCGTTATGTACATGTTAAGAGCAGACAAAAATAGCACGCCTTTTACAGACAGCTCTTTTGCTCTCATCTCTTCTTACAGTCCAGGCAGTTGCCTGTGGCAAAACCAATACAGGATTTAATCTTACATGTGGTCTGCAAGTAACATGGTTCCAAAGGTGCAAGCCAGATACTCCTGGTAAAGAGTAATAAACCACACTTTTCCAAAACAGTTTTCTTCTAAGACAAGCCATGTGTCAGCTTTGTGACAAGGAAATAGCAGGGCTCTGTAGACTTGGAGATGGGGCATAGGTGCTGCACAGCTCATTCTCCAGGTATGTCACCCATAGCACTGCAGGGACCCTGGCTTTGCCTTCCTGCTGGCTGGAGGAAGATTGATCTTGTGCTGTGGCTACAAATTGCTTAAATTCAACTTCTGGTCACCGAAGAGCCAATGGCCCCAACTGCGGGGGGCAAAGGCTTCTGGCTGCCCTTGCAATTCATGATGGTCTTTCTTTAAACCTCAGTGCTTTGGCAAGGAGTAGAATCATAAAATTATTTGGGTTGGAAGAGACCTTAAAGATCATCTACTAAGGTTGATCAGGTCCAATACCAACAATCACTGCGCTTACAGGGATGAAGAGGGAAATTTCAGTGGCACAGTGGTCCCAATCTGGAACGAACAGTTGCCAGAGAAAAAGCTAGCTGGGATTTTGTCAGATCCCCCCAGACTGGGGGCCTGCTGCTCCCAAAGGGAGTCAGAGCAGCCGGGGGAAATGAACGCTTTGCAGCAGGAGAAAACTGAGCAAAACACCATCAAGCTAAAAACAAAGCACTCATTTAAAACACTGAGGGATACAGCCTGCAAGACCTGCCCTTCCTTCCTACCTCCCGCCCTTGCAGGAGCGGCTTAGTTTAGGCACAGGCTCCGAGACACAGCATGTGCCTCGTCTCCCCTTCCGCTGGGGTTTTCCACTTGCACACGCTCTCAGCTGGAGGACACACAATAAACCCTCAGCAATACTTTTACATTACTTTTCTTCTTTTGAAAAAAAAAAAAAAAAGTAAAAATGTTTCTTCAAACAGGTTAAAATAGGTTATTCACAGCAAGAGCCCACAGGATACAGTTGATAAAAACATGGTGTGTAGAAAGCCTGCACCAGCCCTCAGCAGAGCACCGGGGGTGTGAGGAAGGAGAATTTGCTTGCAAGCGCTCCCAGACTACCACAAAAATCATCACAGGCAATGAAATAAAAGCAGATGTGGCAAACAGGCTAGTGCTGCTCTCAGCAAGGGCACCACAGTTGTTAGTAAGTCTCAGTGGCAGCTGTGGCCACAAACTGTCCTGGGTCCCTCCCAGCCGGGGGCTCCCTGCCCTGCTCCGAGCTCATCCCGGCAGCCCATCAGTACTGTCTCTCTCTGGATCTGCTCCGGAGCAAGCCCAGCAAGGAGAAGGCACCAGCGGCAGCTGTTACAAACCCAATGGCACCGATTGCTCGGTTGGCCTGCAAAGGGGAAGTAAAACACAGGCTGGA